AAAAAAAACGTACAAATTCAAATGTCAGGTAATATGTCTAAAAAAAATTCTAAGTCTAAAAATCATTCATGTTTCCTATTTGTCCCTGCATTCACAAACTCTTTAACAGTATAAAAGCAATTTTCAAGAAGCCATACTTTGAGATGCCTTCGAAATAGGCGGAATGGGAGCTCTCTAACAACCTTTGGTATGATATTAAAAATCTTAATTGCCATTTGACCTGTGTTATTATGACAGTATGCTGTTCTACATCTCGGCACTGTCAGTTTTGTAGGATCTCTTGACATTTTGCCTAGCTTATATCTATTGTCGCTATCGGCTGTACTAAATAAATGAGGGTGCTTCTTTACAAATACTCCCATTTCCAGCACATACAATGAGGCCAAAGTTAATATTTTATTATCTTTAAAAATAGGCCTGCACGATTCTAGTGGACCAGCACCAAATACAGCTCGCAAACACTTCTTTTGCACCACAAAAGCCCTATTGTAATCAGTGGAGTTACCCCAAATGATTATGCCGTATCTAAGCACCGAAGAGACGTATCCATGATAAGCCAATAAAGCGGCATTAGGTCCAACAGATACCCTAAGATTTCTTAGCGCAAATGCAAAGCTGTTTAGTCTATTACATACGCTTTCTATGTGTTTTTTCCAATTGCAATTTCTGTCTATTACTATACCTAAAAATTTTGTGTAGTCAACTTCTTCAATTTCATTATAGCCTCCAACCACGTTCATTAATTCCCTAGTCATTTTGTAATTACCAAAATTAATATATTTTGTTTTGGAAACGTTCACATTCAAATTATTCTGTTCTAGCCATTCTATTATAGTTTTTATTGCAGAATTTACTCTATCTTCAAGTTGTTCATTATTATTGTCTCTATTAACTAACACTGAAATATCGTCTGCAAACAACACACACTTATTTTTGGTCACTGTTGGCAAGTCATTTATATATAGAAGAAAAAGCAAGGGTCCCAAAATACTACCTTGAGGCACACCATATTTATTAGGTCTATATTGTGATTCATACTTTATCTCCTCTCTGTCTTTATTAATACCTAATATTTCAACCCGTTGTTGTCTATTAGTTAGGTAATCTTTTATCCAATTTAGTGCCTTTCCTCTTATCCCGTAATTCTCACATTTATCCAACAGTATACTATGCTTCACAAAATCAAAAGCTTTGCTCATGTCAAAGAATATTGCAGTGACTGGTATCTTCCTATCTACGTTCTCAGCAATAAATTTTAATAATTGAAAACAGGCTAGTGTGGTCGATTTTCCTCTTTGAAAACCGTTTTGTTCGGTACTTATTATATTGTATTTAGATATAAACGAGATAATACGATTGTACATTGCTTTTTCGTATATCTTTGCAATTATAGGTATTAACGTCACCGGACGATAGTTGTTTATGTCGTTTTTATTTTTATTTTTATATAATGGTTTTACAACTGAGAACTTTAATTTGTTTGGGTATTTTTCTTCATAGAAACTTAAATTTATAAGATGAGAAATAATAGGGGCCAATAGTTCGGCACATGACTTTATTATGTGGGTGGAAATGTTATCATATCCCACTGCGTTAGTATTGTTTAGTGTTGCAATTATTTTATTTATTTCATAGGGCGTACAAGGTTCGAGATATAAACTATTACTTTCACTATTAGTGTTTTTTATGATATTAGGTTTATTATTTGTAATATCTATATTTGTCGTATCAATGAAGTGATTATTGAAGGCTTCCGCAATTTCTTCAGGTTTCGCTATCAAATTGCCATTTAGTTTAATTGTCTCTATATATTGTGTTTTGTTACATTTAGGTTTATTTTTTATTAATTTCCATGTCGCGTTACATTTGTTTTTAGCGTTCAAAATATATTTATTAGAAGTTTGCTTTCTTGATGAGTTAATACATGTTTTTAATATTTTAGCATAATTATTATAAACTGATTTATTTTCCATAGATTTATTTTTGTGATATTTTGATTTAAGATATCGTTTCGTAAGGCAAGATTTTTTTATACCTTTAGTTAACCACTTTAATTTAGATGTCTGGTAGTTTATTTTAATTTTTTGCAATGGGAAATTTAATCTATATAAGAGGCAAAAGATTTCATGGAAATTGTCAAAAGCCACGTTAGGATCTATCTCATCATAAATATCTTGCCATTTCAGGCTGAAGAGATATCGATATGGAGGGTGGTACATTCATCTCTGTCACATTGTCGTGGTTGCGGGTCGCGGCTATCGGTCGCCGCTCGGCTGCGCTCGGTGGTGGGTTGCGCAAGAGCAAGCGGTCAGGCGCGCGAGGCCACTACTCGGCCTCATTCTCGGTAGGTACGCAAATGTCAGGATCAAGGCCGATGTAAGAACATTCAAGAATTTATGCAGTATTATACTTACATATTAAAGCAATGTTTTATTGGGAATAATTGTAATATCCTCCCATCTATAGTCGGTAGATACCTGAGGTTTTTTTTTTTATATTAAATGGGACTGACGTATTATTTGGTATTAAATATGTAGTTTTTTTCCTATTACCATGGGTGCTAAGAGCCTAACCACAACAGAAAAAGCTGGCATTTCCTTGCATTGGTAACGTTTTTATTCTAACACTAATAAATAGATACTGAGGCCGCACTCGGCCGTGGCTATGTTGTCAAAGCAGACACAATGAGGCACCCAATAATGTCCTTTGTTGAACAATAAATATTGCATTATCGTATAGCTACATCCTTTATCCATATGAATTGAAATAGCTTATCTACGGAGTACGGAGCGAACATTTCCATGTCGGTAAGATCTTGGACCTTGTCATCGAATTTAGGAATACCGTGTGACTCGTGTCAGATGGGAGAATGGGTTATCACCCATACAGTTAAGTATATGTAGATTGCCGATAGGCAAAAAATAAAGAGTAAATAAAATAGGAAAGTAATTCCTATTTTATTTACTCAGTCGTCAATGTCAAGGATGGACCGAATTTGTTTATTATTTTTCCTTAATACCACGTGAAGCTTTTTGGGTAAAACTAAATTGGCAAATTAGTTGAAATTAGTCAGGAAGATAAGAAGTAGCATCCGCACAAAGCTGGGTGTGTAATTTGGTCAAAATAAAAAACAAAAAAGTATGTAGCAACGCTCTCATTTATTCAATCAATAGCAATCTGTAAGTTAATTCGGTATAATGTAACAGTTACAACAGTTGGACATAATATTGTATTCCAGTCAGAACTACCGGTGCGTAGTAGTATCTATCGTTCACAAAATCGTAATAACCTACTTCACACGTACACCGCCTCGACATTTCGTAATAACTTACGAAACTGTAGGACTTAATGCGATAACGATAAGTATATTATTACTTACTTTACTTAAAGAAAATCACAGTAATTTACAAAATTATTAAACAGCAAAAAAGTTTGAAAACGTATTTCCCGCCACCGCGCCGCGCAAAGTGACGTTTGATTATTTTTTAATTACTAAAAAGTAGCGTGTGAAACAGGCTATACAACCAAACGGTCAACTGACCCGACTCTGCCGTAATACAAACAATTTCTTACCGAAATAGCTGCAACGATCATCGAGCTTTAATTTTTAAAAAAATAAGCATTTTATTATCATCTATTTGAGCTAATAATACGTAGAGTATTTAACATTCAGACTTTAAATGCAATGATTATGAAACATGAAATATAAAGTCATTTGGACGTCGGCTAAATGTTCCAGCGGGCAATAAAGTGAAACTAACCTTTAATTAGTCCCAATTACCGCGGGTTTCTTGATGGCCAATGTTATTTATTCTATTGCGTCCATTATATTTTAAATCATAACTTCCTCTAGTAGGTACAATTTTTATTTTATTTTATTTATTTGGGAAAATTAACAATTATACACTATAATAATACATTATAACAAATATGAAAGTATAGAATAAATGTATAATCAACGACATTCTCCACAGAATACAAAAAAAAAGTAGTTAAAAGTCGTACAATTTAGGTAGGCACACTACATACATAAATTCACAAACAATAAGACTGCTTGGATGTTTGCAAAAAAAAAAATAGTTTTTGTTGCCAACTTCGACTCGCAAGTCAGAATAAATTAATTGACTTCGACTCCTAGTTTATTTACACATCGCAAAGTTGTTTCAAAACAATACGAGAATTTAGTTTCATGAAACTTTCAAGTTTAATTTAATTTACATTGTTTATTTATCGTTCGAGTTCGTACTTAAGTAAATACATGTAGTAAAATCATTAGTTATTACTACGTTCAAAAGTTTCAAATATACCAGGTAAAATTTTATTTGTACTTTGATTGTGCTCGAATCTGTCTGGCTATAATTTGACCAGATAAAACCAGATTCTTAAACAAAACATCAGTAATTTCTACAGCGACTAGCTACCACTTTACCTAATTCAGAGCCGTATTATCCTCAAGATAAACTAGGCAAGTGCCTGGGGCACCTGGATACATAGGGGCGCCACGAAATGCGCGTGTCCAACTCCTCATAAAGAGACAGCGCGCGGAGCCAAAAAAATTAAGGGCGCGCCTGTGAGGTGCTTGCCTGGGCGCTCTCTAGGTTTAATCCACCTCTGACCTAATTACACACGCAAACACAATGTAGGTACATAAACAGAAACAACCACGTAATAAAAATGTCAACAGTGGCCATTATTATTAATTTTAGTAAATACTTTTATCGTTACTCAAAATTATGACACTAACAAAAACACTAACAAACCTCTACATTCACTCATACATAAATCTTCGTAATATCTCTTTATGTCGTATATTATTTAATACATAAATAAAAAATAATTCGTGCGTATTTATTTTCGAATTTATACATTCTCGTCTAATTTTCCCTAGATTCTAAAGTTTTTGTTGAATCTATGACAGTTGTAGGATGACCCCTTTTTAGGCTGATAGTAAATAATGATAATACATTCGTATTTTTATTTTTCTTGTGTAGGTACCTTCCTTATAAATATTCTGAAACATAATAAATGTTGGGAAACACTGGTTTAACTCGTCGAGTACCGGTTTTGCAGACACAATTATAGAACAATAGGTTGCGGTCACCGGTGACCGCTTGGTATTTGACAGTTTAATCTATCAATCAATGACAAATTATTATAGTTGAGTTCATTACCTACTTATAAGTTAAGGCGCTCGGTGCCCGTGGGCTACTTAAAAAGTTGGGCGTAGCGTGGGCTAACGACACCAACCCACACCCAGTAATAGAATTAATTATTTATTTAGACATCTTCAAATAGATATTTGGCATTATCTTAAAGCAATTTATAAGGAAAACAGCCACGATTTTTTTACTTTCTACAAACACCGAGAACTCGCAAAATAGATACATGACTCACTATTCAAATTACTGTTGTAGTACCTGCCTACTGGCAAAATGGAATTCATATGTCAAACAAAACTATTGAATTTTCACCGTTAAAATATGTTAAAATAAATCAGTAGGTCAATGGTATGCCTACTCTACTCTGTGTCGAATTATTTAGAATTCGATAACTATACAAAACAAAAGTATACCTTATAATGAACGACGTAAATTCTATTTTCTTTACATTTTAACGTTTCTTTCTAAAGTAAAACAATCGTTTATTTTTTCAGTATTTCGCGTAACGTACCGTAAAATTCATAAACATGAGTTTAGCACATGGGGAATAATTATTTTCAGTATTCATACTGAAAATAAACACGTCAATATCAGGTTTCATGAAGGGTATTAGTTCAGGACTCACGGATGAGCGAGTGTGTGCTTAGGACATGTAAAATTGTGCGCAGGTACTTATTTATAAAATGCCGTCGTTTACCTATAACATTTATTAGACCATGGCCATATTATTGGCAGTGATGTTTCGTGACAATCCGCTGACAACAGCGATTAATATATGAACACACTTAAATTAGAAAAAATTGGACTCAAAATCTTAATTTCTGAAGTGTACCGTTAAAATTGAATTCTGTAATGGTGTGTGCGTTTGTTGTCTTTAGCAGACTCGGCTGATCGTCTTCTGGCGGCTGCGTACACGGCTAACTTGGACGGCGAGGGCAGACTGGAGTCGCGAGGTCGCACTAAAGATTCCCTGGACTCCGCTGCAGGAAGTGACGCTGACGTGGGCACCGAGGGTAGCTTGCGGACTGTGTCGTATGGCAGTGGCGAGCTGCGGGACGCACTGGACGCAATTGATCCGGAGCCGTCAGAGTCCTGGAACAAACTGTCTATTGAGAACAAACTGCAAGTGAGGTTGTATAGACAATTGAGGAACTGCTTTATTCAAAGTGGGAGTTCTATGATCAGGTGAGGTAAGCACTATAGATAAGCATTGGTGTTTTGAACTTTCCTATAATAATACACTTTGGTCTCTGCTATCAGGAGGACCGTAATTCTTAAGCTCTCTAAGACCTAAGGTCCTTAAGATATTCCATTTCACCCTTGTCATGTTTCTCTTCAGACAAATCCTTGCAATAGAAATCTAAGCAAAGGCATATCCGTAAAATATCCTATGTACGAAGTTTAAACAAGTAGGTAGTCAGATAGACAGCAATGTTTATGTTATTAACATTTTCTACATTCAATAGGTACCTATTACGCAAATATTTTATATCAGTGTAAAAACAATAGCCACTGCTAAATGCTAAATAACGTATAAATAAAATAATAATCACGTTGTTACCATAATACGACCTTGGTGTACGTACCGGCAGGCCATTGACATTTATCTACGTAGTCGGCTTAGTGAATTATTATTAGATGGAAGTACCTATTAGGCATCGTCCAATAAAGAATCGTGTTTTTCCCCGAAGGGAACAGAAGTGTGGACTGTACAAGTGAAGAAGAAGCGAAATTGATTTTTGTTAGACATTGAGTGGAATCTAGACGCCTCGGTAGTAGGTACCTCAGATCCAAAGTATATATAGTAAACTAAAAAACAATTTGAAAGACCTGGGGCTTGGCGATGGAACCCAAGCCACATTGTTCGCAATGGATAAGGTCGTAAAGTAACGATATACAATAAATTTACAAAACCAATTTGTTGATCACGTTTGCTTACACTTCTATGCATTTAATAGCATATAATTTTGAACTAAAAATAGAGCTTACAAGACGGGATGACGTCAAGTAAACAAATTAAAATATATTGAAAGGAGGACGACAACACATTAAGTAGGTAATGGATTAAAATTGCAGATCATTTGAGCACATTCATCATCCTTAGTTAATTGAGTAAAGAAATTGACATAACGTTCACCTGTCGTTTTCATACATAGAATATCTATGTACTATGTACAGAAGTCACTCTCTAATCACCCGGCTAGAAACCATAAACATCGCTTCCACTTTAATGACTACCTACTACGTAGTGGTACGACTGGGTCAGAGCCCATTCGTCCCCTAAGATTCGCACCCTGTGCCCACTCGTCCCCTGGAACTTTTGAGGGGCCTATTCGTCCCCTGATGAATATTTATTTTTATTCGTTCTTCTAATATAAGTACATGTATATATGTATAGTGCAGCTTGGTAGTCCTGGTACAGTCGCGCAGAAAAGGGTAAAATAAAAAAATATAGTAATTTGGTAGATATCATGTTTATTTTAAATAGGTTTAAGTTTAATAAATAACCTCTAGGCTCTAGGCATTAAGTCAGTCTTCAAAATAAGTTATCAGTTTTTGGTGTCTGGTACATTTGTAAATATTTAGCAAAATATGTGACAACTATAATATGTTTATGCAGTAAAATAAAAGTGTGTAACTATTTAAATAAAATCCCAGTATTTTTTTTTTATTTTATGGAATAGGAGGCAAACGAGCAGACGGATCACCTGATGGTAAGCGATCAGCGCCGCCCATGGACACCCGCAACACCAGAAGAGTCACAGGTGCGTTGCCGGCCCTTTAAAAAGGAGTACGCTCTTCTCTTGAAGGTTTGAAGGTCGTATCGGTTCGGAAATACCGCCGACGACAGATCATTCCACAGTTTTGCTGTGCGAGGCAGGAAGCTACGTGAGAACCGCACAGTTGTGGCCTGCCAACCATCTATATGATGGGGATGCATATGCTGTCGTGAGGGTCGATGGCGAAAAGATGCGGCAGGTATCAGGTCAAACAATTCCTCAGAGCACTCCCCGTGGTATAAGCGGTAGAAAATGCACAATGAAGCTACATCTCTACGCATTGCCAAAGTGTCGAGCCGGTTTGAAACATCCGGACATCCAACAATCCGAACGGCACGCCGCTGAATGCGGTCCAGAGGAAGAAG